ATTACCTGGCTAGGTAACATTCTCAATGCATTGTTCATCAACATTGAAGTTACTACCTAGCCAGGTATTGAAATGTCTGTATGAAAGCAACCAAGCTAGGAGAATACTAAGGAGTCCACAGATTTAAATGTCCATCAGCAACCCCCAATCCAAGTGCAGCTACAGTTAAGTAGACTTGATTTGTTAAAATTTGATTCTGCAAAGTTTTCATCCAAAGCCACAGCAACACCTTCACCTGACTAACACCTGGTTGTTTACCTATTGCAGGGGTTTCTTCACCAAGGGCCCCCTTTAAATACCTTTAGTGAACCATAGAACTCCAAAATTAACTCAGGATTTAAATCATAACATTTCTTCAAGCCTTTGCGGAACCCCTGTGATGACATCACAGACCCCTATTTCCACTGATGTTCCCAAGGGCTGATGGTATCTTGTTCTAGATCAGAGTTTTCTATATCAGAACAAGGAGCATTATGGCCTATAAATTGTATTTCACTAGGATACTAGAACTTGGCTCCATGGTTTCTGGTTGCCAAATACCTGGCTTGATCATATACTACTTGATCATATATCAACCCTGATGATGGTTACCTGTCTCTTCAGCCATTGTAAGTAATAAACAACCTCCATATAAATTGGAAAAATCAAGTATAGAAAACTTGCTTGTGTATAAGGATCTCTCACATTTCTAGTGTCATGTACCCACAGCCTGGTCAAGACAGCTTGTTTATGTCATTATGCATATAATTCTGATTTTCTTAAAGTTGCTGAGGTGCTTCAGTGGGATTACACATTGCTTTACTGATATTCTTTATGATCAGTTGGCTTATTTGATCTGTTAGCGCAGTTCTACATGTGTATGAATGCTCTTATATTCCGGTCACCAAGAATAGCTTGTTCAGTTTTAGAAAAAGAAAGATAAAAATAAGGCAACCTAATTCTAATGTTTTTAAAATAGTACACACTAGTCACTTGGCAATTTTTTTAAAATAATACACACTAGTCACTTGGCAAATAATTACTTCATTGTGGGATCACAATCATGGCTGCAAAGAATCTTTATAAGGTGGATGGGTGGATGGATGGATATTGGTCTGTTACTTCCATCAGTATACTGTATAATATCATCAGTGATCAAGACATACCTTGCTATTGCTTTTAAATAAAGATCAAGATCTAATTGCCTGATGTTTCCCCAAACATCCCCAAATGTTGATTACTTGCAACATAGGTCTAATTTTTATTCGCTTTAAGGATATTGATTATTTATCACTAGATTACAGTCTGATGTTCTTGCATATACAACAAGGCTGAGAGGGATTCAAGTGAGGCAGCAAATTATGTAGCCTGCTTTCTAATAGCATTTTTCCTATGTCAGGCACTCTGATTCAGGAAGCAGCTGACAGTCACAAGACGTGGAGTGCTGATTTTCCAGTAGTTCAGAAAGACCAGAATATCAGTTATCCCTTCAAAATCCAGCATGAGGGTATTTGTTATCTCTTGGAAAGGATTCAGATTCACTTTTAATTTTGATTCCAATTGAAATGCTAATACCACATGCATGTGTATAGTGGATGGAGGGTACAATACTACAGTTATTTTCTGAGCAAAATTTGTTTAGCAGTTGTAAAAATGCCTCACTCTGAGACATCAGTGACCCAGCCACTTCCAAGGGAGATTGAGTGGAGGGAGGCTGAAGCATGTCCAAAGAATACTCTCCAACAAAAGCTAAATAAACAAAGATCTGCTTGTGATAAAATATTTTATTACTTACATTCTACTAATACAAGTAAAAGGTTAACTGCATACTTCCTTATAAGCAGGACTGTATTGTACTGCACTGTACTGCACTGTGTAACCATACCATGATTGGGCTTCAAAAAACTGGGAGACCACTAGATGGCAGTATTAAGAATATTTCTTCCTGCTGTAGAATAACCAATACTTGGGTAGGATAGCACAACCAAAGGAACTGATATGAAAGAAGATAGCATTGGTAAAAAAAAAAAAACCCTCTTAACTTTGTTCTGAGGTGATGACAGAGGAATGTTAAGATGTATTTTAGTCTTTTCCCATTTCTTCTGACTAAATAATATTTTTTCTATAAAATACAAAACAAAAACAAAAAACCCACTAGCCTTGCTTGCTCTGTATTTCTGTGAATTGTCTGTATCACCATCCCACCTGTTGTGGTAGAAATCATCCACTAATGGAGAAATTTCTTCTCAGACAAGTAAATATCAAGCTTCAGAGATGAGATTGTTTTCTGAACTTCAGCTAGGGAAAAAAACCCCATAAATTTACTTTCTCCACTTGCTCTTTTCACAGTAATTAGTTTCTTCAAGTTGATTCTGTTTGCGTTTTCAAACATTTGTGTGTTTAGATACAAAGACACATTTTAAACATGTATGAAATTCGATCCTTAGTATGAAGCTTCCATTCATGCCAGTAACCAAATGTTGCAATAGGAAGTGCCTCTGACATTCCCGCTATTCTGTTCCAAACCTGATTTTATTTTATGGGTCAACTCAACCCCGTCCCAGTTGTATGTTAGCATTCCCTGCTTTTGAGCATGCTCTGCTCTTAATGGGCTCTTCCTCATCCCCAGACATGAGATTATAATAAAGATTATGTCGTATTCAGACATCTTGGTGTCTTCCAAGTCTGCTGGTATTTCTCTCTTGGACACAGACATTTTTGCTACATAAGCAACGGCCTTCTCCCCATCAAAAACGGGAGAATACAAATATCACAATTCTGCTGAGTCCATTCCTCGAGATCTGCAGACTGCCCATGCAGTTACTTTAAGAGTGATAGCTAAACTTCCTAAATATATGCATGATTACACAGTGCAACAAAGCATGAGATGAGCGTCTGCTGTGACTCAGCTTGAGTAGTCATTTGTTAATCGAATGGGTGGTGCGGTTCAGCCCCCTTGAAATGCTGAAAAATGTTTCTCACAAAGCCAAGAGGCTGGAGAGCAACATTCTATGCTTGCAAATTGAGGCATTTATCTGTAATGGCATGTGGTTTTTGCTTATTTTTCTAGGCTCTGTCATTTGTCTCCTCAGCTCTGTCACTGTTTAAAGTGAAAGTGGCAGCACTGCGTTTGTTGTATGATGCCAAATGTGTCTTCCTTAAATTTGGGAAATCAGTGGATTTTAAGAAAAATGGTTGGGATCCAGCTGAATTTCTGAAGTTCCCTTTTAGAAACTGTCAGGATATTGAATTTAATAGCTGGAAGAGTAAAGTGTACAATAGACCAGAACACACAATTGTAGTTGTTTGGTTGGAGAGTGTTGGCTCCTGCATGAGGCAAGCTACGCTATGATTGGTTGCTGTAAGTATAAAGGGGGAGTTTCCCTTTCCCCCCCTCCTTTTTCTTTTGTGTGTTCTGAATACTATTTAATTCACCTCAATGATATTCCTGTTTTTCCTGACTATCTTATGTTCTTCCTTTTCTGGATGAGGACAAAGACTGCTACTGCTGCGCAATTCCATGGCAGAAACCTACTAGCAGGGGCTGGCAGCAGCCCCGCAGCAACTTTTAGGACTAGCTTCAATGGTGATAGGGAATTTGAGAGGTGGAACTGAACCCAGTTGGAAGGTCTGAAGAGGAAGAGGGCTGCACTAGGACTTCATGTGGGTTTCAGTTGTGAAACCACATTACATTCTATTATTCACAGACTTTTAGATTTAGTTCTGTTGTTTCTGTTCACCCAACTACAGTGGCTGTCAGTTCCACTACGTAGTATCCAACAATGAAATCAACTTATTAGGCTAGGGATGCACAAGTGAAGGGCTAATATGGGTGCATAACATGTAACCTTTCAGATGTTGCTGAATTGCAACTTTCATCCTTTGTTATTGTCCACACTGATTGAGACTGTTGAGAGTTGTAATTCAGCAGTATAAGCATGGTCAGAAATAGTGCAGCTGTGCCAAAAGTTTTGGATGCCGCTCCCAAAGCTTCTCCAAATATGCCGATCACCAAATTGTAAGTTTTAAAAAGATAGAAGGGGGAAATTAAGTACCTGGGAAGTAATCACCTCTTAATCCTAGTTAAATGTTGATGTAATTAAGTTAAATCAAATGTGTTTATCCTGACCCCATTCATTTTTTGGATAACAATCCTTAGCATGCCACTAAAAAGTCCTGAGTTAGTTGGAAGTCTCTACTTTAATTCATAAATACAGCTTGCAAATTATAATTCTTATCTTCAGGTATCAAGTGATCCATTAGCATCATGTATGAATTTAGCCACTGTCAGGGAACAAACTATTATAATGATAAAACTATGGAAGTATAATAATCCGTTTGTATTTGGAGTCACTGAGGCAGTAGGCCTGAGCTTAAATGGACTCCAGAAGATGGTAGAGGACAGGAAGGCCTGGAGGAATGTTATCCATGGAGTTGCGATGGGTCGGACACGACTTCGCAACTAACAACAACATAATAAGTAATTCACAATGGGCAAATAAAGAATTTAAAAAACCTTGAACTGTTTTCCTTGAGATAACTCATTACATGCAACAATCTCAAAATTTTCAATAGCATTGCTTTGTCATTTTTAGTTTATAATCTAGTATAAGCAGATATAATTTTAGGCCAGAAAGGTGGAAAATGGAAGGAATTCTGTTAAGCTCAGATTTCCTTTATAAATGATGCAGCTGAGTATGAGACATTATATGTTAACATAAAATTTAAAGACAATTTAAATATAAAGTGAAGAGTTGCAAGCATCAATGTAGGATAACGTCTGTTTGCAGAAGAATTTCCCTTCTTCAGACTGAATTTGTAGCTTTTGCCAGCCGAGACCCTTCGAATTCGTCTTAATTGTAAGTGAAGCAAAAAGGGGGAGATGGTTTGTCTTGCCCGCCTGAAATTTGTTTTTAAAATTATTTTTTTCTTTCTAGCTTTCCTTGATTTCTACAATTGTACTTTGTACCATAGCATATCCTAAACTCACCTATATTTTTCTTTTCTTTAATATCTAACAGGGATTGGGAAGAATGTCATTTGTGATAGAACAGCCACTCCACTGGATGCCTTTCGGATGATGACAGCTGCCCACTATTATCCCAAGCTTATGAGCATCATGGGCAATGTTCTCCGTTTCCTGCCTGCCTTTGTGAAGATGAAGCAGCTGATCCAAGAGGGCTATGTGGGAGAACTGCTTGTGTGTGAGGTACAGGTTCACAGTGGGAGCCTGCTGGGGAAGAAATATAACTGGAGCTGCGATGATCTGATGGGAGGTGGAGGGTTGCATTCTGTTGGTACCTACATCATTGACCTCCTGACTTTCCTCACCAGTCAGAAAGCAGTGAAAGTTCATGGACTTCTTAAGACCTTTGTGAAACAGACAGACCACATTAAAGGAATACGGCAAATTACGAGTGACGACTTCTGCACGTTTCAGATGGTCTTAGAAGGTGGGGTGTGCTGCACTGTTACCCTTAATTTCAACATGCCAGGCGAATTTAAACAAGATATTGTTGTGATTGGATCAAGCGGGCGGCTAATTGCAGTCGGCACTGATTTGTATGGACAAAGCAATAACTCCCCACAGAAAGAGCTCCTCTTGAAGGATTCTGCCCCAGTCAGCAATGCCTTGTTACCCGAGAAGGCCTTCAGTGACATCCCATCTCCGTACCTCCGGGGTACCATAAAGATGGTACAAGCAGTCAGGGAGGCATTTGAAGATCAAGATGACAGACGAACCTGGGACGGCCGACCACTCACAATGGCTGCAACTTTTGATGATTGTCTCTATGCTTTGTGTGTGGTGGACACCATTAAGAGGTCCAATCAGCTAGGTGAATGGCAGAACATTGTGATTATGACTGAAGAACCAGAACTGAGTCCTGCTTACTTGATCAGTGAGGCCATGCGGCGGAGCAGGATGTCTCTGTACTGCTAGATTTTTGTCTTGTCTGGGGGGGGGGGGGAAGGAAGTGAATCAATTCAGATTTTTCCTGACAGAAATATGACTACACATCTCAGGCCTGGATAAGGGAAACAGTTTAAGGAAACAATATTTGTTGCTAAAGCCACATTGCCTAGTTGGTGCTGAAATAGTAGATGCATTTGAAATGTCCGTAGCACATAGCAGTTGCAGATCCTTTTATGAAGGAATAATGTGCGTTAGCTTTTTACCAAATAATAGGAAGGTAAATTATAATCAGTTTGCAAGCTGTGGGAGTATGGCTGATTGAATTGTGTTTATTGTTTTAAAACAAAAGATTCAGGAAGGTCCAGTTGGGCATTACAAAAATAAAATAAAATAAAATAAAACAGGCCATAAAGATGCTTGAATCAAAAGCCTATGTAGATTGCACAGACTTACCCACAGCTTTTTAAGAGCTCCACTGATAAAAGCATGCTACTCTGTTCTTAGTTGGTTAAACAACCCATTGCATTGGTTAAATCAGGGGTGTCAAACTGCCGGCCCATGGGCCGGTTTCATCATACCGGAGCCGCGCCCACCCCATTGCCGGCAATGGCGAAAAAGCTCCGATATGTCGCGCAACATCACGTGACGTTGCGAGTTTGACATGCCTGAGTTAAATGATACAATAAGAACATTTGGCGTGAATATGTTATCTGATGTCAAAAAACCTGGCAGATTGGTTTTCATAGCTAATATAAATAATATTTTTGAATTATTTTTCCTTTTCTATGGAATATAACTTTGAACAAGTAGGTTTCCCCCCTCCCCCCAATTCATATTGCTCCAAATTCATAGTATGTTCCACTTCAGATTCCAGGCTCACGGGCTCAGTAAGCTTTGATTCAAAGCACAAAAATCTATATAAAAATAGGATTGAGCAAAAAATAGTTTTTAGGATAGCTACCGTAATGTTTGATGAGCTTTGATTCTGGGTAAATTCCAGGGTGATATTTTTTGCTTTGTTTCAGACCAAGCATAACCCCTATGATACTTTAAAATGTTTACTTTAGCACAAATTTTCATGGATTGGCTCTTCTTTTGTTAGAGGCATGAAGTAGTCTGTCAGACAAAGTGGATTTAGTTGCAAAATGATATACTGTAATACGTTACTTCGTTTTCAAGCAATTACATGATTACTAGTTGTTCCTAATTTGAAAATATATCTTTTAAGTCTCGAACCAGGGGAACAGAGGGAGGTAATCAGCAAAACATAGCTGTGAACCAAACCTCATGTGTGTTAGGCAAAACCTGATGCCTCCCCAGTAAAGAAACCTCCAGCTTAGAGAAAAAAATGATTTAACTAAAGGTGAGGTGAGATGTGGCGACTGATCATTTTTGTACATTTGAGTTGGACAGTTTGTTCTTGTTGTGGAAGCATTATCTGTGATGATAATTGGCGTGCCTGGTTGTTTTATTGCAATATTGTTTGAGTGTCCAATCCATATCATAATGACAACAGGTGAGCCTTTTTGTCATGTTGCTCCCCAAACAGATCATTCTCTGGAATCTTCATGATGAAAAACTCACATCTCAGTGAACTATTAATGTTTCTTTTCTTTCATTTTTAAAAATTCAAATAAATATTGGAGGTATTTCTTGGGACTGTAGGTTTCATATTACTTGACCCCCAGAACTGAAATTATCCTGCAGAAATTGATGCATATTTCCTTGTAGCAAAAGTTGCCAGAGCTCACTAGACTGAAAAAAGCCATTTGATGCATAACTACCTACAGCCCTAAATCAAAAGCAAAACTCAGGAATTGTCTTTAATGGGTGAACTGAGCCCATGACAGTCCCAAATGGTAGGTTTGATCTGATAATCTTCCCCCTCCTTGCTTATTGGCACTCCTGTATTTTTTCTCTCTCTCTCTCACCCTCCCCTAAGTAGTAGAGTATATTATTATTATTATTATTATTATTATTATTATTATTTATATTTTTACCCCGCCCTTCTCCCTGCGGACTCAGGGCGGCTTACAGCCTTTTAAAACAAATACATAAATACAGAAAATACTAAAGTTAAAATGTTGATTAAAATGAAATATTATTAGGCCTTTGTTATTTTTAAAAATTATTATAAAACCAAGCTAAAAACCCTTAGGCCAGTTCTGCCAACTTAAATAACCATGTCTTAAGGGCGCGGCGGAAGGAAGAGAGATCCGGGATCACCCGGATCTCTGGGGGTAGTTCGTTCCATAGGGTGGGAGCTCCCACCGAGAAGGCCCTCCCCCTGGGGGTCGCCAGCCGGCACTGTCTGGCTGACGGCACCCTGAGGAGACCCACTCTGTGGGAGCGTATCGGCCGATGGGAGGTAGTCTGCGGCAGAAGGCGGTCTCGGAGATAACCAGGTCCGATGCCATGGAGCGCTTTGAAGATGATAATCAACACCTTGAAGCGTACCCGGAAAGCCACCGGCAGCCAGTGCAGCTCGCGCAGCAACGGCGTTACATGGGAGCGACGAGTCCCTCCCAACACTGCCCGCGCGGCTGCATTTTGGACTAACTGGAGCCTCCGAGTGCTCCTCAAGGGGAGCCCCATGTAGAGAGCATTGCAGTAGTCCAGGCGGGAGGTGACAAGAGCATGGGTGACTGTGCGCAAGGCGTCCCGGTCCAGAAAAGGCCGCAACTGGTAAATCAGGCGTACCTGGTAAAACGCTCCCCTGGCCACGGCCGTCANGGGTGGCCTGGGGTGGAGATGTACAGCTGAGTGTCATCAGCGTACTGATGGAAATCCACCCCAAAGCCACGAATGATCTCACCCAGCGGCTTCACATAAATATTGAACAATAGGGGAGAGAGGACCGACCCTTGTGGCACCCCACAAGTTAGGGGCCTTGGGGTCGACCTCTGTCCCCCTGCCAATACAGACTGCATACAGTCGGTGAGGAAGGAGGAGAACCACCGCATAACGGTGCCTCCCACTCCCAACTCCACCAGGCGCCGCAGCAAGATACCGTGGTCCACGGTATCAAAAGCTGCTGAGAGGTCCAAAAGAACTAGGACAGAGGAATAGCCCTTGTCCCGGGCCCTCCAGAGATCATTTACCAGTGTGACCAATGCCGTTTCCGTGCTGTACCCTGGCCTGAAGCCCGACTGGAGCGGGTCCAGATAGACTGTTTCCTCCAGGCTAATTGATTTCCTGAAGAGAGATTTTGAAATTAAGATAACCACTATAGGTGTGATTTTGCTTACATCTCTTTATGGCAATTTGTTTTTAGAAATAGCAGTGCCAAGTCTCATCCTGGAGAAGAGTCATCTTGTCTTTTGATGATTTCTACAAAGTTGTGAAGAGAAAAAAAGTGCTTTCTTCCATATATACCTTGTTTATGCTCAGCTCTGGGGTGCCACTTGCAAACACTCCTGAATAAATTTAATCAGTAATCCTCTTAAAAAAGCCCCATATCACCATCCCCATAAATATTTACTATTAAGAATCCTGAAAGTTGCACTGGCTTAAAATGGCAATATACACTTCTGGTGGGAAATGCACCGAATTTTGGGGTGGGGGTTGTTGAAGGCCCACAGGACATTATTTATAAAGTGATGGTATTGCCAGTGAGGATGGGACCGATTCTTTTTTTACTATGTATTGGAGAAGGGAAAGGTTGGGAGGGTTTAAATATGTATTTTAGGAGGGTATTGCATTAAAAGGACAAATTGCACTGAGGAAAATAATTTTCCTGGCAACACTGTGGGAACTGAATCTGGCCACAAGCCACAAATTTCTCACTCTTCCTTTATAATTTAATTTGCATTTTTTTGACAAGTGATCTTCGCTGGAAGTTAATAAATTGCCCAAAGTCAGGAACTAAAGATTTATGAAAAACTGGATTATACTTGGTTGGTAGGGCTTGATTTAGCACTTTGCATGTATAAACTGAGAGAACTGCATTAATGTCAGGAACTGGATAGAGCCCATTTTGTATAAAGTCAGAGGAAAAATAGTAGAAACAGAGGAATCCTGTTCTGTCATGGAACTCATATGTATTTGAGCTTGCCTTATCTAGCTTAATATTGGGGGGGGGGAGTTATTTAAAGGAGTATCTGTTATTGGGACATTTCAGCAGCATCATGAGTGATCTCTGCTGTCTGCTAAGATGTTTCATTTGTGTCTATATATGGACTTACAGAGCATCTTTTAATAAAGGATCTCTACAAGGGTCGGTAATATAATCCTAACCCTTACTTTTCCTTCACTCCTAGATCTAAAACGTTTGACTACAATTGAAATATCAGGTGGGTGGGTATTGTATATGTTTGCACTAAAAGAAAATTAGAATGTAATGGCATCATTTTCTTTAAATTATCATCACTATCCCTCCATCCCTGTTCAAAGATTTACACGCACAGTATCAAATGATGGATAGAAAAATAAATTTAAAAGAGCAAAATGCGGGAAGCATTGGAGAAGTGTCATTGTTATTGGTTGATATTTGATACTCCATTTACTTGATAATAGACAATGTCATGTTCTTGAGATACATTGAAACTACCGTGCCCATTATCCCAGTTAATGTTGGCTCTGCAATTTTGCAGTTGTGGATCTAATACAGCTGGAGCACACCAGATGGCTGCTATAGACCATTAAAAGTTCTTCATCGTTTTTTGCTGCACTGTTGGTCTCCATCTGGACAATCCTGGTTTACAGTTTTTCATATTAATTTTAAAAAATAAAAAGATCGAAGCCTACTGGGAATATTTTGTTATTTCATTTTATCCTAGGGAGATTTAGTTTTCTGTCATTCTGTTCTCCTTCTCTATAAAGAGCACTGAGGATGACAAAGACAGACAGAGAGGTACTTAGCCCTATAAATCTTCTTAAAATAGCATTTCCATGATTGATTTTAATTCTTTACTTGATCTGGTTCTAGAACGACATCTTGCTCTTTATTTTTAACTGTAAACATTAAAGTGTACATATATTGCTGTATTTAATATATATATATATTTATTGTGTTTTACAAGCATATA